AATGTCCGGTGTCCTTCAAGGAAATCTATCCACTTGACTCCTTTGAATTCACCCCTCCCCTGGAAAAGGTCACCATCCCTTCTGCCTTCATTTTTCCTGACCTTCCTTAAACTGCTTGATCCATCTGGATAGCTTGTGTGGGACAGCCTTCTGCTACACTTGCTGCAACACTTCCGTGATTTGGAGAGATCGCTACTTGAGTTTCTTTTAACATTTTTGTATTAGCCCTCAGCTCAACTGCTAACTCAAAGGTTAATGGTCTGAACTCACGAGCTACTCGGTGAGAGAAAGTAGCATTCTGCTTGCTTAAAGATTACAGCTTCGGAAGCCCCATGGAAGCCCTGCGGGGTAGTAGGGCGGCATGAATTGGAATCAGCCGGACGACTGTGGGTTCGATTTCATGCACGGAGCTCTGCTGGCAGAGTGATGAAAGCTCTCAGCTACTAATCAGAGAGTCGGCGGATGGCACCCACTAGCTGCCCCTCAGGAAAAAGTGTGGCAGTCTGCTTCTGGAAAGATGTACAGTGTAGGCAAGCTCAACTTGCTCTGTAGGACCATTGTGCCTAATCAACTCTTGCGTGGGTGGGCTTATATTAAGACCATGTCCAAATCCTTTTTGGACCATTTGATTTCTAAATTTCTCTCTGGTTTAGCACAATCTGCAGCACTTGCGTTTGCCTCCCTTTTATGAAGGGTCTGCTGCTATTAGTCATTGAGTATATTTATTATTATTACTATCTGCTCCTGCTTCACTAAGCCACAGTATGCACCTGCTCTTCTGAGGCCCTTGGGGTTCAGGATTTTTGGTCTACTCTGAAAAGAAGTGCTTGGCTAGGTTTTCTAGAGAAACGAAACCAGGGACCCACAGACATGGACAAAAAAGAGCTTGATCCAAGAAAGAGATTTTCATCGAGGAAGTGGCCCAGCCCAGTCCAACTCAAGCCCCTAAGTCCCTCTTCAGACTCACGAAACCACACACAATGATGCAGAATGCAGGAACATCCCTGGCCGGTGGGTGCAAAGTCTTGTGGACCCACCGATGGTGGATGCACCTCCAGAGCTCATGCAGATCTCTCTGTGGCGTCACCAGGAAAATGAAGGCCGGGGAGGGGTTGGGAAGGTTCCCAGGATGCTCCTTATGAGGAGGTCATGCCCACAAGGAGGCACCATCAGGCAGTGGCCTGATTGACAGGCTAGACTCCACCCCTACCTTTGCTTCAAGTTACAAAATTATGTAACTACCACAGGCTGTGACCTAAATAGGTATTTCCTTATTTTTAGTTGAACAAGAAGTGGAGAGGAAGTGGGGACTGATATTTAAAAACGCTGAGGCGAAGACATTTTCAGATGTGAAGTGAAATTCCTTAGTGGTGGCTCTTCTCTCTGCGTCTTTATAATTTCCACCACATCGTTGGGTGGGACCATACAAATAGGGGATTGGTCCGTTTTGCCATTCCTCTGGGTATAAGAAAGCCATCGCAGAAGCAGATGGGAGATCCCTGGACCATCAAGAAGAGTCACCAGTGGAGTGCATATGAGATCCCTGTCTGAAGTGGCAGAAGCCGCATAAGCACCAAGCAGAGGCTACAGCACCAAGACCGTGAGATAGAGTGGAGGTGCGTTGGCTGGACCACTGAACAAGGCCGATGCCAAGGGATCACATGGCCGAGGAGGGGAGAGAGCAGGGGACGAGAGACACGCCTATCAACGTGGCTAAGAGGCACTGCGGACAAAAGAACTGTATCCTAACATTTTGCAACCTGTTAGCCTCCTGAATGAACTCCGTGAGTTTGAGTTTTGTCTGTGAGTTCTCTGTGGCTCTTGCAATGAATTATTGAACCCAACAGAGAAGCACTGTATATACTCGTGTGCAAGCCCAGTTTTCCAGCACATTTTTAATGCAGTTTTGGTGGTAAAATTAGGTGCCTTGGCTGATATTCGGGTCGGCTTACACTCGAGTATATACGGTAAGACATTGTGGGAGGGATAGCTGTGTCAGGATAGGGTTCAAGACACTGGAGGGCGGAGGCAAGCCCAACCTGCTTTGTGACAGTTGGGTTGGCCTGGAGTTGGGTTCTCCTCCTTAGGAAGCCAGAGAAGGTCAGAAGTGGCCACCAGGCCATTTCCTTAGGAAATAACTGAAGTAATAGAAAAATCAGAATTTAAGGCCCAGCAGCAGCCTTTTCTGACGTGGAGATGGGTCATGCTGTCGTCAGTTTGTCTATCCTGTGGCAGATTTATTTCTTTTTTATCTTCTTCCCATGTGCCCAGGTGGCAATGTCCTTTAAAATTTTAACTATTGTTATTAAATAGCTTTGGAAAGAAATATCCAATGGTATCATAAATCACAAAAAAAATCACAATGTGTAGTGCAAGTAGAATCCAATGATACATGAGATTATATCAATCATAAATTCAGAAGTATGTGGCGAGAGTGGCGATACCAGGAGGGTGGAGGGAAGGTGGGGTGGAAAGGGGGAACTGATCACAGGATCTACATATAACCCCTTCCCTGGGGGACGGACAACAGAAAGTGGGTGAAGGGAGACGTCAGACAGTGTAAGACATGACAAAATAATAATA